TGCTATTATATGGATAGCAATTATTGTTAGCTGATATAGCTAATAATTAGCTTGTATAGCTAACATGTTTTGCTGTGGCAGCTAAATATTAGTTACCAGAGCTAACAATTCGCTATCCATATAATAGGAAACTCATTTTTCCACGAGGAAAAAAATTAAATTAATATAATTTTAAAATCAGTAGTAAAAGTCAGTTTTAGGACTTAATTATAAATTACTAAATTTACTATAAATTATTTTGAATTTTTTATCAGTAGTAAAAATCAGCTTCAGTCGGGCTTAACTGTAAAATTATTTTAAATTTCATGTCAGTTGTGAAGGCCCTTCTTAATCAGTCAGATAAGTAGTATAAGTCATTTTTAGTCAGGCAGGACATAATAAATTATTATAATTTGTTTTTCAGTGGTAAAATTAAGCTTTTAGTCAGACAGAATATACTAAATTATTGTAACATTATTTTTAGTAGTAAATGTATTTTTTAGTCAGACAAGGCGGTCGAAATTAGTCAAATATTTTTCTTCAGTAGTAGAAGAAAGTTTTTGTCAGACTTACAAGTAGTATAATTTATTTTGAGAAAGACAGAATAATATAAATTATTGTTACTGTATTTTAGTAGTAAAAGTAATTTTTAGTCAGACAGGACAATTTAAATTATTGTAATTTGTGTTTCAGTAGTAAAAGTCCGTTTTAGTCAGACAGATAGAGTAGTACAAGTGTTTTTTGGTCAGACAGTACAGTATAAATATTAATATTTAATTTTCAGTAGTAAAAGTAAGTTGTAGTCAGACAGAATATTCTAAATTATTGTAACTTTATTTTAAGTAGTAAAACTATTTTTTAGTCAGACAGGGCAGTCTAAATTACTAGAATATTTTTCTCCAGTAGTAGAAGAAAGTTTTTATCAGACTTACAAGTAGTATAATTTATTTTGAGAAAGACAGAATAATATAAATTATTGTTACTGTATTTTAGTAGTGAAAGTAATTTTTAGTCAGACAGGACAATTTAAATTATTGTAATTTGTGTTTCAGTAGTTAAAGTCCGTTTTAGTTAGACAGATAAGTAGTATAAGTGATTTTTAGTCAGACAGTACAGTATAAATTACTAATAATTAATTTTCAGTAGTTGATGTAAGTTTTAGTCAGACAGGGCAATCTAAATTATTGTAATTTGTGTTTCAGTAGTTAAAGTCCGTTTTAGTCAGACAGATAAGTAGTATAAGAGATTTTTAGTCAGACAGTACAGTATAAATTATTAATAAATAATTTTCAGTAGTAGAAGTAAGTTTTAGTCAAACAGAATATTCTAAATTATTGTAACTTTATTTTCAGTAGTAAAACTATTTTTTAGGCAGACAGGGCAGTCTAAATTACTGGAATATTTTTCTCCAGTAGTAGAAGAAAGTTTTCGTCAGACTTGAAAGTAGTATAATTTATTTTAAGGCATACAGAATAAGATAAATTATTCGTTAATTTATATTCAGTAGTAACAGTATTTTTTAGTCAGACAGGTCAATCTAAATTATTGTAATTTGTGTTTAAGTAGTAAAAGTCCGTTTTAGTCAGACAGATAGAGTAGTACAAGTGTTTTTTAGTCAGACAGTACAGTATAAATATTAATATTTAATTTTCAGTAGTAAAAGTAAGTTTTAGTCAGACAGAATATTCTAAATTATTGTAACTTTATTTTTTAGTAGTAAAAGTATTTTTTTAGTCAGACATGCCAATCTAATTTATTCAAATTTTTTTTCTTTAGTAGTAAAAATAAATTTTAGTCCAACTAATTTCAATATTCAAATATAATGATTTAATTCACTTAGCGTTTCACTGAATTTCACCTAATTTCCAAATTGCACAGGATTTATTTCCAAATAAACCGCATATACAATATCACTTGTATACAATTCACATGACCTATTATTATATAATTATCACAATTTCCCAAAATTAGGTCACATTAATATTATTTTCTTTTTTCTTGCATAAAATGAAATTAAAATTATAAAAAAAGGTTTTTTTTAACATATATATCTTTTTTTTCCCAAGATGCAACTTTTGACAGTGGAAAAAAAATTTATTATAAATATTTCAATCGAATTGATGAAAATGAGTCGACTTTTTTTTTTGCTATATATAATATTATATTGAAATTCGATATCGTGAAATTAACTTGTAGGTTAATGTCCTTTTTGAAATGATAAATTCAATTTCTTTTAATTTATATATTAAATTGATGAACGTGGATGGCATCGAATTCTATTTGTAGACTGTAAAATCGAGTGATCTGTGATAGATTGCTGTTTAATCAGGTGTAACAAAGAGGATCAAATAGATGAGGGTTGTTAAGTTGGTTGCCGCCCAAAGACCGATCGGTGCAAGTTTTAAGAGGATTCAATCAAAAATGCGTCATGCATATAAATTGAATTCCCCCCCCACTCCTACACTCCCAATATATATGTGTTCCAATTAAAATTATTCTACGCGCAAATTTCACATATATATTTTTTTTGTTTGTTTAAGAAATTATAATTTAATTAATTTTTACAAAAAAAAAATAGAAAATCTATACGATTTTTTAATAATCACACAGAAAATTAAAAGGCATTAAAATAAGCTGCAACGCTTCTTATTTTAATCCAATTTTGCTTATTTTAATCCACTTTGGTATTAAAATAAGTAAAATTGGATTAAAATAAGAAGCGTTGCAGCTTATTTTAATGCCTTTTAATTTTCTGTGCATTAAAATATTTAATTTTTATTTAAGAGGGAAAAAAAAAATTTATTTGGAACAGCTATATGTTTCTCTGGAATAGAGAAAATTTTCGCTGTTTTAGTGAAATGTATCGCTGTTTCAGGTGAAGATTTTCTCTAGTGTATGATTCAAAAAAATTAATTTTTTTTTTTTAGTTTTCAATTAAAAAGGAAAAATAAAAATTTTATGGTAATTAATAACAAAAAAAATTTAATGGAAAATTGAAAGAAAGGAGTTTTTCTTCTAAATCTTTAGTGAACTACTTAAAAACTTAGTGGGAAAACTGTTAAAGAATGTGCGATAAAATCTTTTAAGCTTTTTATATATAAATTCTGTTTACTCTATATACTTTTTGAAATATGTCAAAACTTTTTTTTTTAAGAGGTCTCTTTAAAATATATATATATATATATACATTCTTATAATACTCTTGTAAAAATTTCCACACAAAAAGATTCTTTAATAATAACATTGCATTTACTTTGAAAATTTACACAAGTGCATTTATTAAACATATAAGTATTTTTAAAAAAAAAGAATCTCAAATTTTTTTTTACAAATTAAATCGCTTAAATTTCTCAAATTCTTTAGAAAATTTTCAATAAAGATTTTTTAAATTCTTTTATATGATTCATTTTACAATGTATTATTTCATTTATTTTCTCGAAATAGCTTTTTTCAAATAAAAAATAAATTTTTTTTATTTAAACAAAATTGTTTTTAAAAAAATAATTTTTTAATATTACTTTCCCTCTTTTGATATATATATAGTAAAAAATAATTTATTTAATTTCAATAAACGCCCACTTGGAAAGATTTCCCGGAAAGTGTGCCCCCTGGAGGTTCTATCAGAATTCCGCCGGAACTTCCAACGTAATTCCGTAGGAATTCCATCAGTTCCAAAGAATTTCCGATGACATTCCGACGGAGTTCCGACAGAATTCTGCCGGAATTCCGACGGAATTAGGACTCTAAAAATTTTGAAAAAAAAATTAATCGGAATTCCGTCGGAAGCCCATCGGAAATTCTTTGGAACTCCGATGGAATTCCGACGGAATTACGTTGGAAGTTCCGGCGGAATTCTGATAGAACCTCCAGGGGGCAGCACTTTCCGGGGAAACTTTCCAAGTTTGGCGATTTCTATTATCAAATAAATATTTACTTGAAATAAACAATTTTTTGTTTAAATAATTTTTGTATTTTTAGCAAATAAATTTATATTCGATTTTGAATATAAATAGTGAAGATTGAAAAAAAAAATTAATCTCTTATAGTATTCGTTTCACTTTCATGAACAGAAAAAAAAGAAACCTAAACCGGATCCACATTATTCGATGTACTTGTGATAGATAACGTTATGCATACATATGTATGAACCTAAGGAGGAAGTTACTTCGCGCGCGAAAGGAAAAAGAAGTGAGAAAAAAAAGAAGAAAAAAAAAAGAAAACGAATATAGGGAAAAAAAGAAGAAACCGCTGACGAAGAGGGAACCTTTATTGGACAAGCGTGGGTATTCACGAGGGTATTCGGCGCTATTCTCCCTCGAATAATAGTATCGCGCACATCCGAGTAGGTTGAAGAGAATAAGGGAAAAGGAACGAAAGATTTTGAATGGCCAGACAAGAGAAGCTACTTTGTGCGTCTTATAAAGAATCACTCACGAAAACTTTGTTCCCCTCCCCCCTCAAAAAATAATAATAATAATAATAAATTTTCCTACTTTTCTTATTTGCAAATTTTTAATTATTTAACAAAAAAATTAATATAACCAAAAAATATTATTTCTACTTCGAGAAAAAAAGATTTCTTTGATACAAAGAAAATTTATTTGTTTCAAATAAATTATCTTTGATTCAAAAAAAGAAATTATATCTTCTTTATAAATTTTCTTGTAGAAAAAATATTTTCTCTACTTTAATGAGAAAAATTCCATAATTAGAATCAATTTCCTCTTGAAATGATTTCTAATTATTATTATTATTATTTTTCTAAATATAGTAATTTAGAAATTAAATTATATTAGTATTTTATAAATAGTAATATATATAATATTTTCACTCCAAAAATCTCAAACATAACATAAAAAATTTTTTTGCTTTAGGTCCCTTCTCTCGTGGAGTATCAAATATAATTTTTTTTCTCTATCAATATTTTCACAAACGAAATATATATATATATAATTGATAGAAGAAAATTATATTTTAAAAATAATTAAAATTAAAAAAAAAATGAAGAAGATTTGACTCACCGGCTCGAAGAGTGACTTCTCGTGATAAGACACTGCCCATGGAGTTTGTCGCCCTGCATCTGTAGCGTGCGTTGTGAACTTCAGCTCGGAAATCTTGAGGCAAAAACGCCGGAAAGGACAGAGTTCCGTTTCCGAGTAGCTGCCTGAAACGACCCCATAAAATGACAATTCAGTGTTTGCCAAGTGCGATGAGTGTGTTGCATGTAACACTTCGAATTGAAAAAAAAAATATATATATATTCTACTTTTTCACTTTTCTAATTCTAATAAAACTCAATTTTCCTTAACCAATTTTTTTTTTTTTCATGAAAATGTAATATTTAATGTAAATTTAATTACTGGCACAGTTTCAGTGAATAATAAAATTAAATTATGAAATCTTTTATTTTATATTAGTAACAATAATATTAATAATAATAATAATAATATACTGAAAAAAAATTTATTTGATTCAAATACTCGATTAGTTGATTATTATCAAATAAATATATACTTAAACATAAATATTTTTATTTGAATTAAATGAATTTTATTTGAAACCATTATTTCTTTATTTATTATTTAAAACAAATACAAATTAATTAGCTCGAATAATAATTATTTGATACAAATAAATATTTATTTAATAATAGTCAAGTAATCGAGTATATGAATCAAATAAATGGTACAAATAAATAAAAAAAATAGTACCAGTATAGTAATGGTACAGTAATAGTATAGTAATAGTATAATAGTAGTGGCATAGTAATAATAATAATAATAATAATAATAATAATAATAATAATAATAATAATAATAATAATAATAATAATAATAATAATAGTAATAGTATAAAAGTAATAGTAGTAGAAGTACAATAATAGTATAGTAATAGTAATAATATTAGTAGTATAGTAGTAGCATAGTAATAATAATAATAGTATTAGTAATATAATAGTAGTGGTATAGTAATAGTGGTAATAGTACAGTAATAGTTTAGTAGTAGTGATAATACTATAATAGTAGTGGTATAGTATTAATAATAATAGTAGTAGTAGTAGTAGTAGTAGTAGTAGTAGTAGTAGTAGTAGTAGTAGTAGTAGTAGTAGTAGTATAGTAATAGTAATAATAGTAGTAGTATAGTAGTAGCATAATAATAATAATAATAATAGTATAGTAAATTAATAGTAATAATAGTAGTAGTGTAGTAATAGTATTGCAATAGTATAGTAATAGTAATAATATTAGTAGTATAGTAGTAGCATAATAATAATAATAATAATTGTATTGGTTGTATAATAGTAGTGGTATAGTATTAGTTAATAGTAATAGTAGTAATTGTACAGTAATAGTAATAATAGTAGTAGTATAGTAGTAGCATAATAATAATAATAATAGTAATTGTATTGGTAGTATAATAGTAGTGGTATAGTAATAGTTAATAGTAATAGTAGTAATTGTACAGTAATAGTAATAATAGTAGTAGTATAGTAGTAGCATAATAATAATAATAGTAAATGTATTGGTAGTTTAATAGTAGTGGTATAGTAATAGTTAATAGTAATAGTAGATTAATAGTAATAATAGTAGTAGTGTAGTAATAGTATTGCAATAGTATAGTAATAGTAATAATAGTAGTAGTATAGTAGTAGCATAATAATAATAATAATAGTAATTGTATTGGTAGTATAATAGTAGTGGTATAGTAATAGTTAATAGTAATAGTAGTAATTGTACAGTAATAGTAATAATAGTAGTAGTATAGTAGTAGCATAATAATAATAATAATAGTAATTGTATTGGTAGTATAATAGTAGTGGTATAGTAATAGTTAATAGTAATTGTACAGTAATAGTAATAATAGTAGTAGTATAGTAGTAGCATAATAATAATAATAGTAATTGTATTAGTAGTATAATAGTAGTGGTATAGTAATAGTTAATAGTAATAGTAGTAATAGTAATAATAGTAGTAGTATAGTAGTAGCATAATAATAATAATAATAATAATAATAATAATAATAATAATAATAATAGTAAATGTATTGGTAGTATAATAGTTGTGGTATAGTAATAGTTAATAGTAATAGTAATAATAGTACAGTAATAGTAATAATTGGAGTAGTGTAATAATAGTATTGCAATTATATAGTAATAGTAACAATATTAGTAGTATAGTAGTAGTATAGTAATGTCATAGTAATAGTATAATAATAATAAGAATAATAATAATAGTATTAATAGTAGTAGTATAATAAAAGTTTTAGTATTAGTAATTGTCATAAAAAAAGTAAATTTCAATTTTTTTCAACTAAAACTATAGCATAGGAAAATTTTTTTCAATAATTTTAAAGTTCAAATTGAACAGAAATGGGGAGACAAAAAAAATCTATTGAATGTCCGGAAATAAATTTTCATTCCTCTCATATATATATATATATAGTCTGTGAAATGGTCAAATAAAAAATTAGAAAAAAATAGAAAAAAGCGAGATGTCCTTTCCGTCATAAAGAATGTAAGATCTGAAAAATGTCAGGTGGAAAGAAATAATGGAGAAACGAAAAAGTAGAAAGAAGAAGAAGAAGAGAAAAAAAACCGTCGTGTACTATATATGCCACTGCAATATGTATAGAATTCTATCAGGTTCATTGTGTTCTTGCATTCTTCTTTCTAGTTTTCATTTTCCCTCCTTCCTTCTCTAAAGTGTCCATTTTTACATTTTCCGTTCTACGAAACCCTATAACGAGACCTCATTGTCCAGCATTTCATATATATTTTTTTTTTCAAATTCGATGGAACATATTTCATCATAAAGGTGAAATTAAATTAAATTCATATATTACATATAAAAATTTTTTTTTATCTCGCGAAATTATGTAGATATAAAAATAATAATTCAATTTTTTTTTTTTAATTTCAAAATTAATTTTTTTTTCTCGGTTAAATTAATTTTTCAAACGCAATACGTCAATATTAATAAATTTATAGCTGCGAATATTTTTTAAAAATATTTCAAATAAACGACAGAAAAAAAAAGATGATAAATTTAAAGTCGAATTTGTTTATTGTAAAATTGCAATAAAAATTTTCCTCACGAAAAGATTAATTAATGAGTAATCGATATGAAAACTGGAGATGCAAATACTGCACATCAATTTGAAATTGATATTGATTTGATGGGAGGAAAAAAAAATCAACAACAACAACAACAACAACAAAATATCAATTATCACGTGAGCAGAGAATAAAGCGAAAATAACGAGAATCTGAGTAAAGTAATATATATGACGCACAGTATCACGTTATACAGATGGATTTTTACGATACGATAACATTTTCTAGTCTAAAAGTAAAGTCCTATTTTTTCAAAGTTCCTTTTTTTAAAAACAAATATTTTTTTTTTTTTTTATTTTATATACATTTTCTGACTATTATTAAATAAATATTTAATTGAACCAAATAATTTCTGGAATTAGTTATTTATATGAATTCCCTTTTTTTTCTAGAGCGCCTTTTCACAAATCAGGAAAAATGAAGTGAATGGAATTAATTTTTTTTTTCGTTGCCAAAAAAAAAAAAAAAAAAGGGAGAACGAAAAAGTCTTTTTATAGTTGAGGTGTGAAAAGCGAGTTTCTCACACACAAGACTAATGATCTCTTTTCTCAACGTGACGGGTGGCCAAACGTCATTTATCTTCCGACAGACACGTATTAGATAGTCGATGGTCATTCGGATCGATTTCATTCTTCTTATCATTCTCGCACGTACCAATGAAAAATAAGTGATCCTTTTAGTGTTGACCGAAACTAAAAGGATTTTCACCCCCACCCCCCTTTTTTTCAATCATAAAATTAAAAATTTTATTTACTTTATTTACACTGAAAAAAAAGTCTGGTTAAAATAACCAGAATTCTGGTTAATCTAACCAGAATAAAAAGTTATATATACCCTTACTACTTTTTCTGGTTAAAAGTACTAGAAAATTTGGTTAAAAAATTCTGGTTAATTTTACCAGAATTTCAAGTTAATCTTACTAGAATTTTTCTAGTTAAAAATTTTTGGTAAAAAAATTTCTGGTTGATCTTACCAGAAATTCTAGTTAATCAGAGAATTAATTAAATTTATTATTATTATATTATATTATAAAATATTATAAAATATGAATTAAAAAAATTTGTATTATGTACATATAAATGCAATCAAACAATAACACCTTTACACTGCAATTCTCTTAATAATGTTTATTTAAATATGATTATTCAGAACTAAAATTCTGATAAAACGTGTCGAGCACGTTTTCAACATAACCTTCAAACTATTTTCCACACGAACGGGTTTGCCGTTCGTCAACAATTTTTTCACTTATATTATAAAATTAATTAACCAACCTTTAAACAGATCTTTTAATTCTCCCAAACCCAAATTTTCCAGAGCTTGGTTAACTTTTTCATCCATTCTTGCGATCCGCACGATAAACTATTCGAAAAAGAACAACAGACGCTATGCAGTGTCCGCGAACGCGCGTTTTTAACCAGAATTATTTTAACCAGAATAATTTAACCATACTTATTTAACTAGAACTGTTTAGTCTTTTTAACTATATTTTCTTGTTAAAATAACTAGAAATTTTTTAACCAAACGCATCTAGTAACTTTAACCAGAACTTTTTTTTCAGTGTACAGAAAAATCTTATAATTCGTCATTTTATGTGAAATCGAATTTTTTTAAAGGACAGAAATTCACCGAATTTTTGCGACGCCAAATTTTCATTTGTTCAAAATTACAAATGACCGAAAAAATAATCGATAGAAAGATTTCGGCGCAATTTTTGAATATTCACCAATTAGAAATTATCAAGAAAATTATGATTGGTCAATTTTCAAAAATTGCGCCGAAATCTTTTTTGTCGATTGTTTGTTCGATTATTTTTTTGTAATTTCGGACAAATGAAAATTTGGCTTCGCAAAAATTCGTACAATTTAAAATTAGGTGAATTATAATTTTTGTCTTGTAAAAATTGAATTCACATAAAAGCTAAATAAATTATAATTTATTTAGCCAGTTGCTATATAGTAATAAAATAAAAGCAAAGCTTGGAAAATTAAAATCCTGCCATAAAGATTTTGTCTCTATGAGCGATCGAATTTCAAAGAACGGAGATTAAAGACCATTCTGATATATATATATATATATATATATGTATGTGTACAGCTTTGGAAAACTCGGACATTCATGAAAGAGTGCTTTTGTTTCTATGAAGAGATCTGGGCTTTATTTCCGATATTAAAGTGACCCGACCTCCTGTGCATTGTAAAATGAATGTCATTTCTATTTTCTTTGATTTATATATATATTTTTTTTATTCAAATAATACCATTTTTTTTATTTATTTATATTCCCATTATTTATCAGTTTTTTTGACAAATAAGCTTACTAAAAAAATAGTTTTCTAACCTTTGATACATCTGGAAAAAAGATTTCTTTGATTTAAAGAAACCAATTTATTTCACTTATTTTCTTGCATCCAAAAGCAAAATTTTCATTGAAAAAAAGCTTTTTAATTAAAATTTCTTTAAATCAAAGATTAAATCAAAGAAATTCTAACATTGATATAGGGTTAAAGAAACATTTATTTGAATTAAATAAAAAATTTCATTGAAAAGAAGATAATTTTTTTTTAATTAAAGATAATTTGTTTGAAACAGATAAATTTTTTTTGTATCAAAGAAATTATTTTTTTTAAATCAAAGAAATCTTTTTCTCTCGGTGTATAAAGATCAATGATCCATTTCTTTGAATAAAGATATTGATGGAGTTACAAAAAAAAAAAAAAAACGATTCAGTGTAAAATATAAAAATGCGAGAGCACTAAATTTTTTTTGCGAGATCAATAAATTTTTTCCATCTTCCTAAATATATATATATATATATAACTGAGTTTAATAAAATTTGAAAGAAATCCATTTTGGAAAATAAAATCAGGAACCACCTAAGAAAGCAGAATAGAGGATTCGATTTGACGGAACTATCGGACTTTCTCTATCTCGATTGGAAAGGAGATTGGCCATCATCCCCGTGGAAAACTTTTCTAGGTCTAGATGAAATAACTGATATCTGAATTGAGGTCATTGAACTTTTGAAATTTATATAAATATATACTTAGAAAAAATGTTTTCACACTGAAAACAAAATTTATTTAATTATAAAATAATCAGTTGCGACTAATGTTAAATAAATTTTTTTTTTTTTTTAAACTAAATTCCATGTAAAATTTAACACAATTTTTCCTATTTTAATTAGGGCTTTAATCAGGTCCTCGAAAGTTTTCAGTAAAATTTAAATAATCTATCTTTAACATTTGAGATTTTTACATTAAAACCTTCAAAAGATTAAAACAAAAAATCTGTAAGTCAAAGTGGTTGAGTGGTCAGCGTATACGGTTCGCGTTCCAAGGGTCCTGGGTTCGATTCCCCATGCTTGCGAGATTTTTCGAAAATATTCCCGTGTGTTTTATATCTACTGTCTATGTAATAATTTCAAATAGAATAAAATATTGTTAAAAAAAATAAAAAAAATATTGTAAATAAAATATAAATAAAATATTTCAGTGTAGAAATTTCCCTATCAGGGCCTTAGTAGGAAATGAAACGCCACGTCCGGTCAGGCCCAGATTAGGACAAGGGGAAAATGTGTATTTCCTAATCAGGGCCACATCATGGCCGTGGTCTTTCATTCCCTAATAGAAAGGCCCGATTCATTCCATGGCAAAAATTTCTAAACGGGTTGTAAAAAAAATTACTCAAAAAATAACCTAATGAAATAGGGTAATTTCAGGGAAAACTTACAAGGTCCTGGTGAGAGTTTTCCCTAACTAGGGCGTTAATCGGGAATATCGTTACAGTAAAAGAATATCGTAATTTGCAGGACGCTAGTTAGTTTCTCTAAAAACCAGTGTAGAAATTGCCCTACCAGGGCCCTAGTAGGGAATGAAACGCCACACCTGATCAGGGACAAATCAGGGCGACCAGAAAAATGAGGATCAGGGCCACATCAGACGAAGCGTTTCATTTCCTAATAGGGCATCCGGTTACAATCTGGGCCCTGGCGAAATTTCTGCACGGGAAAAGGACCAAATAGGGAAATCTGGTTAGTACCTCATTAGGCGTTGTAAAAAAAAATTTATTCAAAATATACCTTAACAAAATAGGGCAATTTAAGGGAGAACTGACTAGTTCCTAATGAGTTTTTCCCTAATTAGGGCGCTAATCGGGAATACTGTTACAAAAAAAAGTCTCTAAAAAAACGACCAAATAGGGAAATCTGGTCAGTACCTCATTAGGCGTTGTAAAAAAAATTTATTCAAAAAAAAAACCTAACGAAATAGGGCAATTTAAGGAAAAACTGACAAGGCCCTGATGAGTTTTTCCCTAACTAGGGCTTTGATAGGGAATATTGTTACAGTACAAACTATCGTAACTTGTATAACGCTAGTTAGTTTCTCTAAAAAAGGACCAAATAGGGAAATCTGGTCAGTACCTCATTAGGTACAAAATTTCTCCTTTGGCGTTACTAGATACAAAAAAAAATGGTCCATACAAAAGATTGCAATTTTTCAAGGCTTTTACGTTTAATTTCCTGTTGGCAGGGGAGAGGATAGTCATTAATTTTCAACATGTCAGGTAATGAGAGAAGCGTGTCCACGCACAAACATTTAACCTAACGTTTATATACGTATAATACTAACACACTGTGTGAGAGGTTGCACTTGACAGAACGAAAGACGAAGGTACGGACGGAGAAGAATTGCACGAGGATATGAAAGGTGCGGCCATGTTTGTCCCAAGTCATGGGATGGTGTTCACGTTTCAAATGTGTCCACTTTCTCTCTCTCTCTCTCTCTCTCGCACACACACTTATATTCTGTATGTGAATTTTCTACTTACGTTGAGGAAAAACACACATATATGTGTGTATGATGTGATATGGGAGATTAACGACGGTGGAACCTGCTCAAAATTGCTAAGGTTTTTGGTCTCATAAGAGCCACATAAGAGGTGGTTTCTTTCAAATAAAAGATGATATAAATTTTTATAATACCCTCAATGACAGAGAAATAAGAAAAAAAAAAAGAGAGAGAAAAAGAAATAAATTGTTTCAGTGATTATTAAGAAATATTTTTTCGAATTTTATATTAGTAGAGGTCATTTTTAGACAGACGAAATATTCTTTAATTATCTTATTGTAAATTTCTAAAAAATGGAAATTTTACTAATTTTTGTAGTACAAAAGCAGTTTAGGTGAGACAAGAAACCGAATCAGTAGTAAAAGTCGGTTTTAGTCAGACGGATTTTTTTTTAATTTTGTCAGTCTTTCACTACATTTTGTATTTTTTTTTTGTACCAGTAGTTAAAGTAGTACTTTCAAATTTCAAAAGTCGAGAAAGACAAAAAAAAACAAAATTGAGACAAGATATGAAAAATGAATGAAATTTTTGTCAAGTTTATTCATTGAGAGCTGCAAAAGAGAAAATATATAGAGATTCGTTTTAGTCGTCCCCAGAAAGATGCAAGGACATCTGAGGTCGGAAGTTCGTTGAAGCACTACTGCACCTGGAAAAACCATTTCCTCCCGTTAATCGAAACGCTTCTTACTCTCTCTCTCTCTCTCTTTTTCTCTTTTGCTCACTCTCTTCCTCAGAGTTTTACTTTATTTTTGTCTTTACTACTTTTCCTCGGTATTGAGTTTTATCACTTGAAAAGTCATAAACCTTATCATTCTCTGGATGGGAATAAAATTTTTTTTAAATTGGCAACAATTATTCAGGGATTTTTTTTTATAAGTCAGATTTTTCTTTTTATTTTATTTCTAACTGGGATTTTATTTTTTATTATAATTTGACACAATAAAATTACGTGTGGCAACTATTTAATTGTTGTTACAATTGCAGTTAATTAAAGGATGTAAGTTAGTTAATTTATTAAAGTGTAATTTCAACTAATTGCAACGTCCAAGAATTATAGCAACCAATAAAATCGTTATTTCGACCAATAAAATACCCACAGACGTTAAATTGAATTATTTATTACTGGCAAATGGTAAAGTTCCTTCTTTATTTTCATCTGACTCGAACATTTTATAACATAAAAAATAATGAAAAAATGTATTTGAAATTTTTTTCTATTTTTTAACATTTATTATTTGTGCGGGAAAATAATAATAAGTCAGTATAACTAACTTTTACTACTGATAATAAAAATTGGAAAAAAATTAGATTTTTTCCAAAAAAAGAAAATTATACTTTTTTTTAGTTAACTCACCGAAGTCCTGGAACTGCAGTGACCGACCTATGATCTGAGCTGGTTATCCAGATGACATCAGGTGTTGGACTCCCATGAGCCGAACAACTCAATTGTGATCCAGTTGTATTGGAGAAAATAAGAGTGCTCGGGGGCTCCAGGACAAAGACCGGCCCCTGCTGCCCATTTACGGTCCAACTCCATGCTGAAAGATAAAAAAAAAATTTCTTTTGTTTTAAAATCATAATTTTTATTTGCAATTCATAAACATTTCGTTATAATTAATAAAGAATTTACTTTGAACCAAATAAAATTTTACTTGATTCAAATAAAAAAATTTTTTTAACTTAATTTCTCTCTCTCGTAAATATTGTAAAATAATAACTAATGATATTTTCGGTTAGTACAATTTTGGCCGCGTCAAATCGAATTTTAAGCCACAGAAACGTGAAGGCAAGGTGGGACGAAACCACTGCTAAATAATTCATTGAGATGAATTATTTCTGTTTCAAGCTGCTCTTGAGGTAACGAGAATCGATCCTCCTCTATATACCGATATCGTCTTAGACATTCCATCCATGTCTGATTTTTTATATCAGAATATTAATTTTTTTTTTCTCTAAATATTAATAAAAAAAAAGAGGTCGACAACAACAGGTCAGGGCCTCGACAGTTTTTCCGTTTTAAAAAAAATTGAAATAAACATTACGTTTTTGTAAAAAAAATTTATTAACTATTTTAGGGGATAAATTTTTACCAGTTGACTAGATTCAAAAGAGAGCCTTATCAGTTTTCATAGTTTACAAAAAATGTAAATATTAAAACTATTTTTTGGTTTAGTATCATAAATATTTTGTTATATTTTTTTGAAAGTTTGATATCAATAAAAGTGTTAAGTAAAAAAAATTAGAATACTGGAATACCAGCAATCAAATAGTCAAAAAGTCTCGAACAAAAAATGTATAGCGCACTTTTTGATTGGTCCAGCGGATGCTGAGCAAAACTAGAAAACAAATTCGGGAAAAATTTCGAAAAATTAAATTTGCGAGATAATCGCTCCGGAATACCACCAATAAAATAGGGAAAAAGTTTCGAACAAAAAATGTATGGCGCACTTTTTGATTGGTCCAGCGGATGCTGAGCTACAGTGAAAATAAATTCGGAAAAAATTTCGAAAAAATAAATTTGCAAGATAATCGATTCGGAATACCGCCAAAAAATTGAGCAAAAAGTCTCGAACAAAAAATGTATGGCGCACTTTTTAATTGGTCCAGCGGATGCTGAGCTACACTCAAAAAATCGTGGAAAAAATTTTCGAAAAATTTAATTCGCGAGATAATCGTTCGGGAATACCGCCAAATTCTTTAGCAAAAAGTAGCGAACAAAAAATGTATGGCGCACTTTTTGATTGGTCCAGCGGATGCTGAGCAAAACTAGAAAACAAATTCGGGAAAAATTTCGAAAAATTAAATTTGCGAGATAATCGATTCGGAATACCACCAAAGTAGTTAGAAGAAAGTTCTGAACAAAAAATGTATGGCGCACATTTTGATTGGTCCAGCGGATGCTGAGCAAAACTAGAAAACAAATTCGGGAAAAATTTCGAAAAATTAAATTTGCGAGATAATCGCTCCGGAATACCACCAATAAAATAGGGAAAAAGTTTCGAACAAAAAATGTATGGCACACTTTTTGATTGGTCCAGCGGATGCTGAGCTACAGTGAAAATAAATTCGGAAAAAATTTCGAAAAAATAAATTTGCAAGATAATCGATTCGGAATACCGCCAAAAAATTGAGCAAAAAGTCTCAAACAAAAAATGTATGGCGCACTTTTTAATTGGTCCAGCGGATGCTGAGCTACACTCAAAAAATCGTGGAAAAAATTTTCGAAAAATTTAATTCGCGAGATAATCGTTCGGGAATACCGCCAAATTCTTTAGCAAAAAGTAGCGAACAAAAAATGTATGGCGCACTTTTTGATTGGTCCAGCGGATGCTGAGCAAAACTAGAAAACAAATTCTGGAAAAATTTCGAAAAATTAAATTTGCGAGATAATCTCTCCGGAATACCACCAATAAAATAGGGAAAAAGTTTCGAACAAAAAATGTATGGCGCACTTTTTGATTGGTCCAGCGGATGCTGAGCTACAGTGGAAATAAATTCGGAAAAAATTTCGAAAAAATAAATTTGCGAGATAATCGATTCGGAATACCACCAAAGTAGTTAGAAGAAAGTTCTGAACAAAAAATGTATGGCGCACTTTTTGATTGGTCCAGCGGATGCTGAGCTACACTCAAAAAATCGTGGAAAAAATTTTCGAAAAATTTAATTCGCCAGATAATCGATTCGGAATACCGCCAAATTCTTTAGCAAAAAGTAGCGAACAAAAAATGTATGGCGCACTTTTTGATTGGTCCAGCGGATGCTGAGCAAAACTAGAAAACAAATTCGGGAAAAATTTCGAAAAATTAAATTTGCGAGATAATCGCTCCGGAATACCACCAATAAAATAGGGAAAAAGTTTCGAACAAAAAATGTATGGCACACTTTTTGATTGGTCCAGCGGATGCTGAGCTACAGTGAAAATAAATTCGGAAAAAATTTCGAAAAAATAAATTTGCGAGATAATCGATTCGGAATACCACCAATAAAATAGGGAAAAAGTTTCGAACAAAAAATGTATGGCGCACTTTTTGATTGGTCCAGCGGATGCTGAGCTACAGTGAAAATAAATTCGGAAAAAATTTCAAAAAAATAAATTTGCAAGATAATCGATTCGGAATACCGCCAAAAAATTGAGCAAAAAGTCTCAAACAAAAAATGTATGGCGCACTTTTTAATTGGTCCAGCGGATGCTGAGCTACACTCAAAAAATCGTGGAAAAAATTTTCGAAAAATTTAATTCGCGAGATAATCGTTCGGGAATACCGCCAAATTCTTTAGCAAAAAGTAGCGAACAAAAAATGTATGGCGCACTTTTTGATTGGTCCAGCGGATGCTGAGCAAAACTAGAAAACAAATTCGGGAAAAATTACGAAAAATTAAATTTGCGAGATAATCGATTCGGAATACCACCAAAGTAGTTAGAAGAAAGTTCTGAACAAAAAATGTATGGCGCACTTTTTGATTGGTCCAGCGGATGCTGAGCTACAGTGAAAACAAATTCGGGAAAAATTTCGAAAAATTAAATTTGCGAGATAATCGCTCCGGAATACCACCAATAAAATAGGGAAAAAGTTTCGAACAAAAAATGTATGGCACACTTTTTGATTGGTCCAGCGGATGCTGAGCTACAGTGGAAATAAATTCGGAAAAAATTTCGGAAAAATAAATTTGCGAGATAATCGATTCGGAATACCACCAAAGTAGTTAGAAGAAAGTTCTGAACAAAAAATGTATGGCGCACTTTTTGATTGGTCCAGCGGATGCTGAGCTACACTCAAAAAATCGTGGAAAAAATTTTCGAAAAATTTAATTCGCCAGATAATCGTTCGGGAATACCGCCAAATTCTTTAGCAAAAAGTAGCGAACAAAAAATGTATGGCGCACATTTTGATTGGTCCAGCGGATGCTGAGCAAAACTAGAAAACAAATTCTGGAAAAATTTCGAAAAATTAAATTTGCGAGATAATCTCTCCGGAATACCACCAATAAAATAGGGAAAAAGTTTCGAACAAAAAATGTATGGCGCACTTTTTGATTGGTCCAGCGGATGCTGAGCTACAGTGAAAATAAATTCGGAAAAAATTTCGAAAAAAAAAATTTGCAAGATAATTGATTCGGAATACCGCCAAAAAATTGAGCAAAAAGTCTCGAACAAAAAATGTATGGCGCACTTTTTAATTGGTCCAGCGGATGCTGAGCTACACTCAAAAAATTGTGGAAAAAATTTTCGAAAAATTTAATTCGCGAGATAATCGTTCGGGAATACCGCCAAATTCTTTAGCAAAAAGTAGCGAACAAAAAATGTATGGCGCACTTTTTGATTGGTCCAGCGGATGCTGAGCAAAACTAGAAAACAAATTCGGGAAAAATTACGAAAAATTAAATTTGCGAGATAATCGATTCGGAATACCACCAAAGTAATTAGAAGAAAGTTCTGAACAAAAAATGTATGGCGCACATTTTGATTGGTCCAGCGGATGCTGAGCAAAACTAGAAAACAAATTCGGGAAAAATTTCGAAAAATTAAATTTGCGAGATAATCGCTCCGGAATACCACCAATAAAATAGGGAAAAAGTTTCGAACAAAAAATGTATGGCACACTTTTTGATTGGTCCAGCGGATGCTGAGCTACAGTGAAAATAAATTCGGAAAAAATTTTCGAAAAATTTAATTCGCGAGATAATCGCTCCGGAATACCACCAATAAAATAGGGAAAAAGTTTCGAACAAAAAATATATGGCACACTTTTTGATTGGTCCAGCGGATGCTGAGCTACAGTGGAAATAAATTCGGAAAAAATTTCGAAAAAATAAATTTGCGAGATAATCGATTCGGAATACCACCAATAAAATAGGGAAAAAGTTTCGAACAAAAAATGTATGGCGCACTTTTTGATTGGTCCAGCGGATGCTGAGCTACAGTGAAAATAAATTCGAAAAAAATTTCGAAAAAATAAATTTGCGAGATAATCGATTCGGAATACCACCAAAGTAGTTAGAAGAAAGTTCTGAACAAAAAATGTATGGCGCACTTTTTGATTGGTCCAGCGGATGCTGAGCTACAGTGAAAATAAATTAGGAAAAAATTTCGAAAAAATAAATTTGCGAGATAATCGATTCGGAATACCGCCAAAAAATTGAGCAAAAAGTCTCGAACAAAAAATGTATGGCGCACTTTTTAATTGGTCCAGCGGATGCTGAGCTACACTCAAAAAATCGTGGAAAAAATTTTCGAAAAATTTAATTCGCGAGATTAATAGTTCGGGAATACCGCCAAATTCTTAAGCAAAAAGTAGCGAACAAAAATGTATGGCGCACTTTTTGATTGGTCCAGCGGATGCTGAGCTACAGTGAAAATAAATTCGGAAAAAATTTCGAAAAAATAAATTTGCGAGATAATCGGTTCGGAATACCACCAAAGTAGTTAGAAGAAAGTTCTGAACAAAAAATGTATGGCGCACTTTTTGATTGGTCCAGCGGATGCTGAGCTACACTCTGATAAATTTTTTTATAAAAATTCGAAAAATTAAATTTGCGA